AATGAAATATTTCAAACAATAATAATAATAATAATAATTAAAAATAAAAAGAAACTTATAGGGGTTGGTTAATAACAAAGAAATAATACCGCCAGAAAAAAAATAAACTACGTAATATAGAAAATGATATTATCAAAATTATATTTGTTGGCCCAATCCAAATAAAACCGAAACAAATAACGAATAATCAAATTTCTTATAACTTTGATGATGTGGTTTGTTGGATGGTTGGGGTGTACAGATAAAAAAAAAAGAAAAAAAAAGAATTAAAAACAAATAAAATAATACACGTTGCGTGTGTGAGCATATATATATATATGTGTGTGTTCTGTAACTTTGAAACCCGTTTGTAAAGTATCACTAGCTGTTAGGGTCTTTAGCGTGCACGTTTTTGCTTGGATCCACTTACCACAATGCGATCATCTTCATCTCCTTCTTCTTCTTCATTTCTTCCTCGTGTCTTTTTTGAAATTATATTGGAGAGAAAGAGAGAGAAAGAAGATACAGGAGAAGAGAAGAAGAAGAAGAAGAAGATCATTCTCAGATCGTCAGATTGAATTTCAAAAGGAGCTCGATTACGCGACTAACTTATACTACTACTATTACTTTAACACACTACTACTCATCTTCCCTCCCCCCACCCCTCTCTTTTTTTTCGTTCAAAATCTAAAGATTCTCGTACCCCTTTCCCACCTGACCATGAATTTCAAACCCATTTTTTAATACCAGATACGATTTAAATCATTTTTTATTTGTTTTAATATCTTCTTTTTACGTTCGATTTTTATATATTATTTTTATTATTATTATTATTATAGGCGTAGTTATTTAATCATAGAAAATAATATTGAAATACGTGGAAAAATTTGAAACCGCCATCTTGTTTCCCTCTCCACCTCTTATCCTTCTATCTAATCACTGTATTAGAAATTCAGAACGTTCCACTCTCATTGGCTAACCTATTTTTTGGTTATTTTCATTTTATCCAATGTTAAATATTTTATGACACACTTTTAGTTTATCTTTTAACACATATTTTATACATGGTTAACCTCAAAGAAGGACGCGTAGATATTTCTGTTAAAGAATCAATAACGCACGCTTGTTACAAAAGACACATACACATACACACATGCGTTGTAACAAGATAATAATAATAATAATAATAATAATAATAAGAAAAAAAACTTGGATTTATATTCACGTATATGCAAAAAAGTTTGTTTTTAACATCGTAAAAGAACTCGCGTTTGACCTGTGACACACACACACACACACGTAACTATTTTTTTCTAAACGCATTTCAAAAATATTACTCGGATGACTATCATAAAACGCGTAATAATAATTCAATTACGCGAGATGAATTTTTAACGTACTAAAAACTTATTCTCGATATTAATTATTAATTATCAATATGTTTTACTTATTATTCTCGTTCAATTGTTTTAAAAAAAAGAAAAGAAAAATATTAATTCTATCAAAGAACAATCACGTGATTATGATATAAATAGGTTTCCTAAAAAAAAAAAAAAAATTAGAAAAAAAAACTATTAATCATTCTATGGGGGCCGATTTTGTTCGTGTTTACAGGAAAAAGGATATAATATATATATAATTTAGAATGGAACAATTATAAAATTTGTTAAATATAGATGAGAAAATAAACCATTCTCAAAGAGATAACAAAAAATTTTCTTTCATAACATATTTCAAAGGTTGAAGTTGATAATCGATATAATGAATATTTTATTGGCTGTAAAATAAAAAGATTATGAAATATTATTATACGTTATATAATACGTATATATTATTATTATTATTAATTTTATAAATACATTATATATATCGGAGAAGAGATAATTAGATTGAAAATTTAATACGAATTTATTAGCACGTGAATTCAAAGTTACACGAATTCAATGTTAGTTACACGCGAGGGTTATTAACAATTAATAAGTTTAGCTTTTAAAAAAAAAAAAAAAGGCATACCGTAAAAATGTGGATTAATTAAACAAACAAAAAACAATGAAGATCCAAAAAAAAAATAAGAGGAAAACCGTGTGCCTAATTAATCAATAAATATACGTCACAGGGTAGAAAAGAGTGGTGAATAATTCCGAATTAGAGAATTTCTAAGAAAGAAGAGAAGAAAGGGGGTTAATAGGGAAAAGAGAAAAAAATAAAAGACGATTTTTTTAAGGGGGGATAGGGGGTGGGGATAAATAAGATTATGGTTAGTTTTCTTACCAATACGTCGTAGCAGATCTCGCGTAGTTCTTTTTCGACCTTTTCCCGGTACTCCTTGGCCATCTGTTGTTTGCGTTCGGAGCCCTCGGTCTTTTGCTCGATAGAAGAAATGACTCGCCACGAGCTACGTCTCGCACCAACAACATTCTTGTACGCCACTGAGAGTAGGTTCCTTTCCTCGTTCGAGAGTTCAACTCCAGTCTCAGTGACAGATTTCATTGCTGCTGCCATATCATCGTACCTCTCCGCCTGTTCGGCGAGTTTCGCGCGCTGCACCAATTCCTCTTTGTCTACGGACATTGTGTCGTCTGTAAAACAAAGAAATATTATTATTATTATTATTATTATTGCAATTATTTTAAAATTATTTTTAATAATAATAATTATTATTCAATTCAAATAATATTCAATTTTGATTAGTAACACTTTTTGGAATGAACGCGGGAACAGTTAATGTGTCCACTATATTTGTTTGCTACACCTAACCCCTTTCACAGTACGTACGTCATCGTAGTTTTCAATATTTCGATTTACATTTATTTTTAGTAATAATAATTTAATTCAAATAATATTCAATTTTGATTAGTAACACTTTTTGGAATGAACGAGTGGAACAGTTAATGTGTCCGCCATATTTGTTTGCTACACCTAATCTCTCCCCAGTACGTACGTCATCATAGTTTTCAATATTTCGATTTACATTCATTTTTAGTAAGAATAATTCAATTCAAGTAATATTCAATTTTGATTAGTAACACTTTTTGAAACGAACGCAGGAACAGTTAATGTGTCCGCCATATTTGTTTGCTACACCTAACCCTGTACGTACGTCATCGTAGTTTTTAATATTTCAATTTACATACATTCTTAGTAATAATAATTAAATTTAAATAATTTATTTCTTTTCATTTGTAACACTTTGGAATGTGTCCCCAGTTAATGTATTCCACCATATTTGTTTGCTACACCTAACTCTGTACGTACGTCATCGTAGTTTTCAATACTTCGATTTACATACATTTTTTGTAATAATAATTAAATTAAAATAATTTATTTCTTTTCATTTGTAAGACTTTGGAATGTGTCCCCAGTTAATGTGCTCCGCCATATTTGTTTGCAACACCATACCTTGTACGTCGTCTTTAGTTTTCAATATTTTGATTTACTTTTATTATGAAAATATTTAATATTTTCAGACGCGAATAAACACACAAATATTATTTAATAGTAATAATAAATTCTAATAATTCAATTAATTCGGTAAAACTTTGGAACGTGTGAACAGTTTAACGTGTCCGCCATATTTGTTTCCCCACAACCAATCCTACACGCCATCACATTTTATTTTAAAAATATTCATATGTTAAGACGCGAATACATACAAATATATTAGTATTTGTAATATTAAATTACTCGAAAAACAATTTATTTCTTCATTTGTAAAACACTTTGGAATGTGTCATCAGTTAATGTGTCCGCCATATTTGTTTGCAACACCCAATTCTGTAGTACGTCATCATAGTTTTCAATATTTTAATTTACTTTTATTTAGAAATTATTCAATAATATTTTAAAACGAGCGAATACACACAAATATTATTTTTTGTAATGATAATCATTATAATATTATGATAATAATTATAATTGTGTGTATGCCAAGAATGTTTAAAAACGCAACACCATATATTCTGTTAGATTGCAACAAATACAAAAAAATTTTAAAGCTTACGATCGGATATTGAGAAGTAGAAAAAAGAAAAATACGTAAAAAAATTGTTCAAAGTATAATAGGACGCGTCGCACGAGACTACCCTGAAACACTTCTGTGCTTCCCACACTTTTTTCTCAACGTATTGTGAATATAAAAGAAAGGTGACTCCTATAACGAGACTTTTGGAATTTTACTCGGCTGTTGGATGATCCTTTCTCGTATATAACCCTCAAGGGATCTCAGGTATCGATACATTACGAAATACGATCGACCGATCAACCGACCTTGTTCAGATAATAAGACAACGTACTTTTTTGAAAATTTCATCAGAAGAATTCCAGTTTTAGGTAGAAAAAAAATCGGTCATCTTTCCTATATACCGGGTGACTCTTTAATTTCTCACATTATTTAACAAATATTTACACTTGCATGAATTTTTACAAAGTTACGCGAAAAGAAATATTTAACTAAAAAATCCAAAATAAACAAAATATATAATAATTAATTTATTAACTTTATATATTAATTCCGCGTCCTGTTGTAATATTTCAATATAATTTTAATTTAAAATCAAAATATATTAAATTGGTAAGAAAAGAAATCAAAATATCTAATCCCTATTCCGATATTTTTCGCGATCCTGAATCTAACCACACGAACACGTAAATAAAATGTTCGATAATATCAGTCATCGAAGGAATTTAATTAGTCCGACAGATTTTTTATTTTCCTATCTTTATTTTTTTTTACGCTCAAATGCCTGGAGCCCACAAAGGTAAGAAAAAAAAAAAAAAAAAAAAAAAGAAAAAGAAAATTGGGGCTAGCAAAATGAACAAAGTATCAACGAAAGCAGATAATATCAACAAAAATATTCTCTTTCAACGTTTAAAATCAATTTCAGCGTGATTTGTATATATTACAACGTTATGATCTAACGTCCCCCTCTCCCCACACCCTCTCCAAAAAAAGAGCGAATTTATTCTCATAATTTTATGGTTAGGATAATAAATATCGAATCGATTTTATTCGTGAGTGCTGATAAAAATCCGATAGAAATAAAATAACCATTCCACCGTTTCTTTTTATACGATTTTTTGTTTTACACGTAGATATATTTATAATTTCAAACGTAGAACAAAAAGATTAGATCGAATCGTGAATTATAATAATAATAATAATAATATCCGAGTAGATAAGACGTTGGAATTGTAATTTATATCTTGTCACACGTAACATCATCTTCGATTTTCATAAGTTAATTTGTTTGCTTTATGTAAGAAGAACATGGTTACTTTTTTTTTTTTTTTCTTCAGTAATAATAACTAATATCGGTATTAATTATTAATCGGTAACATTGTTTTATATTATCAAAATTGTGCAATAAAATAGAATTCCAATTAAAAAAAAAATATCGTACATAGAAAATTATGTGCATCGGTAAAACAAAATGTAGAAAATAAAATATATATTTTATAACATAGACATTTTCAAATTTAATAATTTCAAGGACACGCGTAAAAAAACAGGATTTTTCATAAATAATTAAAGGAGGTTTATTAAATAATACCATGTTGGATATATAATAATACGTATGTGCAACGTATATCTTATCTTTTCTATTCGTCACGCTTGAAAAGATATTTTTCCTCTTTTTTTTTTTTTTTTTTTTATACACTACCCTATGTATATCCTTGGACCCTTTTCCGTCGTCAACCCTATTTATGCGCAAGCATACTTGAGTTCTCACATGAAACACGGCGCGCAGAAATTCTTGTTACGGTTACCCTACCCCCTCCCTCACCACCACCACAACCGTCACCTCTCCACCCCCTCGTAACACTTTCAAACACGATAAATCATGCCTTAATCTCTACGATTCGGTATTTCGCACGAATTATATTTACGACGTATGTACCGGGTGGCACAATAATAATTCCTCAAGATAATTCACTAAACCGTAGTAAGTAGTTATTTATTTATTTTTTTTGTTTATTTTTAAGTCAATTTATTCCCAAATTATATAAAGCTAGAATATTAAAAATTAAACAAAAAAAAAAAAGGGGAAAAAAGTTAAACATAATTCTACCACTCCCATAGAGAGAGAGAGAGAGAGACACATATATTGCATTTATCCTATGGAAAATTTGTATACAACGACAAATATATTTGTAGAAATTAATTTCTACAAATAAAAAAAAGAAAAAAAAAAAATATTCAGAACAATTTCAACAAGGTATAATATACCTTACATTAATTGGTCATAAATGAGTCACGTTCATGACTATTGACAAAAACTACTACTACGAAATCTACGTATAGTCACCATATCATCAGTGCATTACGCATGCACATACACATATACGCACACATGTATGCACACATTCGTTCCACGTGTTTGGTTTGCAGTCACGGACACGACACGATGACACGCCCGAAATGCGTTCTCACTTTATGCAAGAGGGTGGATGTTAAGGGTCGGGGAGGAGGGGGGCGCAGCGACGGGGAAGGGGGTGAGGAGGAGGAGGAAGGAGAACCGGTCGATTCGATACGCTTGAACGAAAAGCAATGTCTTCGTTGGCGGCTCTCGTAATCGATCTTCTGGTATGTATATATGGCCAACGATAAACGGCAACGACGATGATGATTCATCGCATTGAAATGGTCTCGAGAACGATAATACTTTTCTTTTTCTTTTTAATAAATAAAAAGAAAGAGAAAAAGCGAGAGATAGAGAGAGAGAAAAGGGAGCAGGGAACAAGAAAAGAAACAAAAAAGAAAAGCTAAAGGTAAAAGCATAAAAGATAGGAGGATCAAGAAAAAATTGATAGAAGTAAGTAGAACGCATGCGCATAGGAAAGGAACCATTTTTAAAAATGGCCGGCCCCCCCTCGTAGAAAAGCTTCCAGGAACGCACACCAGGCGCGCTGTTGTAATTTCCTCTTTACATTCGATAATAATAATCGTAATTTTTTTATTCCCCTCCCCCCGATAAATTTATAATCATTAATTGTATATCGACGAAAAAAACAAAAAAAAAAAAAAAAAAGGGATTTTGGGTATTTATAATAAAGGAAAAAGATAATCGTGAAAAAGGAGAGAAAAAAAAGGAATAAAATAACACACTGAAACGATTATATTATACTAGGGCGCAAATTTTGTGTTTGAGCTTGAGACCCCCCGCCCCACCCCGATTGCAGGAATAAATCGTTTTGAAAATTGCGAAAGAAGAAAATTATTAGGGGGAAGGAGCGGAAAAAGGGAATGTGCATTTACATGGAATTCGAGAAATCGATCGTGTGAACAAATATACACGCGCAATATATATATATATATATATATATATATATATACGCAAAAAATACTTGCAAAAAAAAAAAAAAAAAAAAAAAAAAAAACAGAGAGAGGAATAAAAATAAAACTCGAGTGTGTCCTCTTAATTTGTCCCTGTGGGATGGATGAATCACACATTTATTGTAAGAGGAAAGAAAACATGAGCGCACTAAACACACACACACACACACACACACACACACACACACAGTATATATAGCGTACGAGTAATATATCATTGAAAGAGAAAGAGAGTGTGGTTTGTAA